ATAGTTACATAGTATTATAAGTTACATAGTTATAAGTTTATAACATGATATACCATTATATAATTAATTATTTTTATTTAGAAATAAACTTAAAATGTTTTATAAATCTATTCATTTAAATATTATATTATATTTATTTAATGTTATATTATAATTGTAAATTTATAATTTATTGTAACTATAACATTTCCAACAGAGGAGAGGCAGCGTTTTTTAAGCAGCCAAAATTTGTTCCATTGTTTCCTGAAATGCTGTGGAGACGCTGTCTATGTGGCACTCACCATTTGTATCTGTCAGCGTTCTTGGGGAAGCTGGATTAAAAGACCAAAAAGCAGTGTTTCCGTGGAAGGCTGCATTAGAGTTCCAGAAACACCAATAAAGGTCCACTACAATTGGCAAGGAGTTTGTGTTCTTCGGACATTTATACACGCTGCCCTTTGTCTGATTGTGTACCTGCGTTTAAAAATGCCTGTCATTGGAAGTGGATTTCGCTTGTTCTATTTTGGTATTTCAAAACTCTACTATTTCATACTAGGTATTAGAGCGTTGCAAGATGGATTTAATTGGTGGAGGAAATTTGTTTTATCCTTGTTTAATCTGGTGTTTTGAAATGCTTACATATATAATTTTTTTAACAACCAAAAGACTCTTATTACATGAGTACAAAAAATATTCAAAACTCATAATATCATACTAGATCAATTAAAATTTTGCAAATAAAAAACTATGAGGAAAAGAAATTCTAAATTTTGGCTAGTCAATCATTAAAAAATCAATGTTTATCAATTGAATCTCTTAAAAATTAGAAGAAAAATTATCACAAAATTAGAAGAAAAATTATCATAAAATTATATCATTTTAATAAATTACTAAGAATAAAAATGAAAAAAAAATGATTGATACACGTTTTAATTCAACACATTCCACAATATTTATCGATTTAACATAGCTCACATTATCTATCAGTTTAGCTATTAAAATCTATAACTTTAGTTTTTTTTTTCCTGTAATTTCAACTTAAAAATAATAATTTCTTAATAAATGTTATGTTATGTATTAAATCAGAGAGTATAATAATAATTATTTTATAATAACCAAAACACTTTTATTAAACTTAATTAAAAAATAAGTTATTTTAATTTTTTTATAAGAATTTATTGATACATATTGACTTCTTAATTAAACCCGACAATGTCGTAGGAGTACTTCGTCAAGAAAATTGCTGGAACTCGGCAAGTATATGACAACTTGTAGGCCCTATGAACCATCTCCTGAATAATTTTTAAATGAATGCGACTTCCAATATGTACAAGCACCATTACATAATCCGTCTGCAAAATCTCAACTAATTCATGACAGTGGCACATCACATTATAAGCATTTCAGATTATTCAAACCTTTCTTTCCGTGCTCGGCACGATGACGAGGAAAAACATTATTAGCTGGACTTGATAGCTCATGTAACCAGCATGGCTTAACTATAGAAAGATTCACTCTGCTGTTGTTTTGGAGCTTATTTGTAATGAAAGATGCAAGGTTTTGCCATTACAAAAGGGTCTGTCGGAGATGACCTTGGAGTTTGTACAATAAGAGTTTTATCTTTCTTCGGCTTTTTCAAAAATAAACTAGAAACAGAATTTTAATTTATTGGAAACCAATTACAATTTTGATCTAAAAGAGGGTAGTCTCTATAAAAATTTTTTGTGTAAAATTTTCTTATTTTTTCTCATTTATTTTTATTTTGTGATTATAAAAAGAAAAAAAAATTTGAATTACAATTTACCCCCTCTTAAAGTGCATCAAACCAACACTTTATATTTTTCTGGCAATGTTATAGGACCTTCTTAGTTATTTTACCTTTTTTGGTTTAGCTTATATGATAAAAATGTAACTTAAACTATATCTATTTAATCCTTTTAATAAAACTATGTTTTTTTATATAAAAAAATAAAATAAAGACAAAACTCTTAACCATAGAAGTTTATTCCCATCAAGTTTGTCTCTTTTACGAAAAGACAAGTTCAATCAAAAATATTTTTTTTGAAGTCCACAAAGCGGCGGATGGTCGCGTGCCTCATTAAAGTTGGTGAGCTGTTCACCAGATTTAGAAATTGAATTTTCAGTTGCTAATATCTAACAATATTAACCTAATAACCATTGGCCTTATAAAAAAAAATCAAAAATTTTTTTTTTGCCTTAAAAGGAGCCATCTGTGGGCATGGCTACTTACTCTCTGCTGAGCAATGTCCACATGGCGAAAAAGTTTGCTTTTTTTTTTTTTGAAAAAAAATTTGGATCCATTTAAATTACATAATGTACTGTGATTTTTTTAAAAAGATTTATTTAAGGCATATGTCCTACAAAAATTTGTTTTGTTAAATGTTTTATTTAAGGATTTAAATATTTAAAAGTATAAATTTATGTAAAATAATATTAATTATGATGACATACACTAAAATGAGTTTTTTTTATTGTACATAACTCTAAAGAAATCATTCAATTGTAGCAACCTAGTGTTTTCGTGGAAAGCTTGAATCTTAGCCCCCAATTTACACTCCTCCCTTTTTCCATATAGAAAGCAATTCCCTGACTCAAATTCTGCCTTACATTGCTTTTGCACTTCTTTACAATTGTACTTTCGAGCACACAGCAAAAAGAAAATAAAATTCAAAAGTGACAATCCTGCCATTAGAAAGTAGAACATGTCTAATTTGCTGCTATTGACATCGTCAGTCAACCAATTAGAGCCATTCTTCTCAGTCACCTTATGCACAACATTTACCACAAAGCTGCTAGAATAGCTTGATAGGGAAAGGCTCAAATAGAGGAGAGAGGTCCCGATGCTCCTCATGTGGTTAGGGAATTGCTTGTTATAGAACTCGATCAATCCAACAATACCGAACATCTCCACAAAACCGAGTAGGATAAGCTGCGGAGCTAGCCATATGACTGACATGGGTGCAACACCATCAGGTGTACCATAGGATATTGCCGATTCCCTTCTCTTTCTTTCAACAAATCCTGAAACGAGCAAATTTAGAACTGCGAACATGTTTCCTATTCCTATTCTTTGGAGAAACGTGAACCCTCCTTCTTGGTTCGTGATTTTCTCTAGTGCTGGAACTAGTAATCGGTCATACAATGGAAGGCATATTGTGATGGCAGCCACTGTAATAAAACTGATTGAACCGACAGGGATTTGGATATTGGAGGGAAATTGCAAGTCCATTTTCATGGCTTGGGCTACGTTGAATGTTCCTTGTTGGTAGTTTGGTACAAGGCAAGGAAGCTGAGGATACTGGTTAGCCATATCGGGATGACGTTTAGCAGGCATTTAACATCTTCAACATGTTGGACACTACAACGCCTCCATTGATTTATCAAGGAATCATCAGAGTCCAATTTGCTATCCATAATTAGAGCCGCTTTGTTCAAGCACCTAAAGAGGAAAAATACCAGGGGGAGGAGTCTATTAAGTTCAAGTTCATAAGTTGTCATAGTTAAGCTGCTTAACAATGAGACGCATATGTACCTGTACTGTTTCGAGAGAGTGAGCTTTGACAGTCAAGAACTCTTTAATGGAGAATTATAAAACCGGTTATCATGTGCACCATTTGGAAGATCAAGGTTGCGTTTCCTGTAAGCTGCAACAAAGACTTGTGCAATACCAGAAAATATGGTTCCTGCTGGCTTCACTAATACATATATTTTCCTCCCAATCAAGAATAGAATGACTGCATAGAGCATGGCAAAAGTAGGTACGCCAAATCCTATGGCCCAACTAACTTTGTCTTGGATGTAAACGATGACAACTTGAGCAACCACTAAGACAATTGCTTGGCTAGTGAAGTATAGATTGAAGAAGCTTCTTGCTCCTTTTCTTCCTTCTTCAGTTGTTGAATCAAACTGATCGAGGCTGAAGGGAACGCTACATGGCGTGGTTCCACCAGTGCCAATATATGAACAGCACAGGCGTAGGATTAAAACACTGATTTGGGTGGTAGTGTAGTCTTTGCATATGCTGTGTTGCTTCTCAAGTGTGCATGGCGGAGGACGTAATGCAGGTACCATGGCAGTTAAAGTCATGATTATGATTCCCTGCAAATGTCCAATATTAGCTAAGTAGTAACTTCTTTGCAAACTTTAAAAAGGAAAAAAATGTATTTTTCAATTTCTACTGGTAAAAAAATTACCAATCTGAACTTCAAATCATTTCTGCTAAATTACTCGTAGAAATGCCGTTTCTAATCTAGATTTGCCAATCTAGACTGAAAAACTGCATCCTTATAAAAGATGTCTCTTCTTCAAAAATAAACAAATAAAAATCATTGAATCTATATATGTACCAAGAAAGATGAGAGGGAGCTGAAGACGATGGTCCCAAATTTGCCAACATAGGCATCGGAGATGTAGGCACCAATGATAGGGGCAAAATTGCTTGCACCACTCCAATTGATGAGGATGGTGGCTGCTGGCACATGGTGCATGTGGTACTCTTTTTCCAGATACACCATGAAGTTCGCCATCAATCCATAGGTCGCTAATCTCTCGAATATTTCATTCCCTATAAATAGTAACATAACCTCAAATTCATCAGCCAAATGACGGTTAGTAAAATTAGCCACAAACTAAATAGGTTCTCATAATTCTAATAAGAGACAAATCATTTTTAAGTGGGAACATTTATAAAAGGAAGATTTGAGGGCCAAATTAAAAAGTAAAATTAGTTTAAATATAATACTTTTTTTCTGAAGTTGATTATAATATGAAGTTTTTGTTATATTGAAATTTTATAATAGTCATATATTATTAAATAAGTAAATACATACCACTTCACATGTCTCACTATTAGCATATTTGATTTAAGGAAAATGAAGAGGAGAGAAGATAAATGGAAGTATGTCATACCCTTCCCACCACTTCTCTCCCCTTCCCTCCCTTAATTTAGATAAGTAGTAAAGGAATTAAAAGAATAAATAATGTAAATGACTTCCTTCCCCTCCCTTCTCCCTTTGATTCTCTCTTTTTTCTGTTCAAATCAGATACAGGAATTTTTTCATCTCCCTTCCCCTCAAATTAAACATACTATAAGTTTAAATAGTCAATTATTGTCAATAGATTATAAGATTTCATCTTGAATCACTTAAGAGTTCTTTGGTTAGTTTTTCCTTATATTAAAGAGTTATTTGAACTATACTAAGAATGAAAAGGAAAATGATTTAAGGACAACTTTTTAATATCACCATTTGTTATAACTTTATATATTATTTAAATGATTGATTTTTTTCATTTATTTGAAACTTATAATATTAAATATATATACTCATTAAAGATATGTGAAAGTTGTATTAAAATATAATATAAAAAGATTGTTCATATATCACTAGTTGAATGAAAATTCGAATCCCTCCATTATTATTCGGGTTTAAGCAATTTTAATAGGTCGTGTTCATCATCATTGAAGGTAGAACATTATCATACTTGTGGATAGAGCAATTTGTAGATAACTAGATAATTAGTTGAGTTGAAGGGCTAGATATCCATGTTAATCAAAAAAAAAATGATTGATATATCTTTTAATTCAACATACTTGCCAACACTCATTTTTGTCTTAATCCATATCAAGAACAATACATGGAGAAAAAGTAAAGAGATGCACCTAAGATAAAAGGCATAGCTTTTCCATCCCGCATATCTTTTCTCGACCGTCGAAGCTGAACCCAGCAAAGCGGCACCGCTTTCTTCATCGAATGTTTGGTTAGGCAATGATGAAGAAAAGGAATTATTTTCTTTTCTCCAAAAGAACCATGAATTCATATCCTTCGTCTTCATTCGACCACCCTCCATTTACCTAATATTTATGTCATTAATCTGATCAGGTATATGGGGTTAACCAAAAGAAAAACATAATGATATTATAAGCGGGGAAGGAGGAAAAATATAATGACCTAATTAGGGAAATTGAATAGAAATGGGTCTTAGTCTTAATGAAAAGAGAATCCACAATAAAAAAACTAGATTTTTTGGTATATCTAACTATGAATCATACAAGAGGAGATAATCCTTTCCTATTTCTATATTTTGAAATTCTGTTCCATCCGAATCAAAACTCAAACTTGAGCTTTTTAATTTAGAATCTCAAGTTTTTAATTATTGAATCACCCCATTGAGGTTATAAAGAAAACTAAATTGATCACTACTTACTAAAATCTAATATATTTAATAAGGAAATCTAAAGAGAAAAGAGAAAATTAGGATATTCTGATATTAAAAATGTGAAGACGTGTGGATTTTAATTTTATCAAATTCATCATGTGACTATTATTAAATATCCTAACATTTTTAATACTAGGATATCCTGATTTTCTCTTTTCTCAAATCTAAATATATCTATATTAAATTAAAACTTTTGTACACTAATATTAGATTGATCATGCATATCAATTTTTAGATTAATTAAATATATTTTTTAATAATTTATTACTCATATTAAATATAACACCATTAAATATATGTTAAAATTACAATTTCTTAATATAATGATTATAGATATTAGATTTATTTGAAAATTGATACACATGATTTATATCTTTTTGAAGCAAGGATAAATTTTGTGTATTAACCCAAAATCCCAAAAGGGAAATTGTACATCCCCTACCCAGGAATACCTGGTGCAGTTACATCATTTTGGAGTTAAAAAATATGACTTTGTCTAGAAGACAAATTCAGCCGCTAGAGGCTAATCTAATATGCTGTATGATTCTACTACTACAACATTCTCAGAACTTGATTCACCTGGAAAGAGTCGTAAATTCCTCTCATTTCACACAAAATAAAGATAAGCAGCAAAAGCCATTCTAATCTGTTTACCACAGAGTTCTGCTCTTGTATTCAAGTACCAGGCTAATTCCACAGCCCATTGTAATGGCTGCCTTGTTATCTTGATGGCACTAAGGACTACCTGCCACACTCGACTGCTATAGTGACAAGCAAAAAATCAATGCTCCCTGTCCTCATCAGTTTCATTGCACAAAACACAGGTGGTGGGAACATTCAGGCCTGTCTTTCGTAGATTATCCTTTGTCTTTAATCTATTCAAAATTACCGACCATGACACAAAGCTGTGTCTAGGTACAATACCTCCACTTCAAACTCCTTTGAACCATGGCACTCTACGTTTCTTCATCCTTAATGCCTCATAAAAGTTGCTAATTAGGAAGTTACCATCACATTTTAAGATCTATATGGGTTTATCCTCTTCCTGGAAGGTGAGTACATGGACATTCGCCCAATAATCAAAGGAAACCTCCTGCAAAAACTCATAGGTATACACCACTGTCCATGCTTCCAACAGTCACTCACATGCAGTTTTTTGCCCCAGCAGCTTAGATCAGTTTCCTCTCCCATTAGCTCCACCAAACTCTGATTGCCAAACTGGCCCTTCGGGTCCAATGGTTCATCCCAAGCCTTAAGTGCTTAGATTTAATTGGTTAGGACTCCCATCAACGACTTGAAAAAATTCCTCATTCTTCATAATTCCCCCATGTTCAAAAAAAAAAAAAAAAAAAAAAGAAAACTCTCTCGTTGCCTAGCCATTTCTCATAAAAAATTAAAGAGAAGTATGTCTTCCATCCCCTAATTGCATGACAATAATAAAAGGTGGCTTCTCTCTCTTAACTTTAATAACTTGTTCTAATAGCAAGAGCTATTACTCTGTATAAATACCCCACAGACTAGCATTCTTGAAGTATACTGTATTTACCTAATTAGCCCATAAAGAATTCCTATATTCAAATAATTTCCATATCTATTTTCTAACAGCTGTTCTATTCCAGGCTCTAAGTTACTTTAAACCAAGGCCCCCCTCCATACGAGGCAAATAGATATCATCCCAAGCAACTAAAGCCATACCATGCCTGTCCCATGTACCTTTCCATAAAAAATTCCTGCAACACATTTCAATCTTGTCTAGAACTTTACCAGAAATTAAAAACACTGCTCCAATAAACTTGTAAATGAGACAATACAGCAGCCACCAATTGAAGCCTTCCGGTCAATAACAAGTTTCTTGCAGCCCAGCCATTAATTCTACTTTTAATCTTTTCTATTATGGGTTGACAGTCCTTCACAGTGAACCTACTAGAAATAAGAGGAACACCAAGATACTTCATTGGCAGTCTTCCTTTAGCAAAGGCTAGCTGCTTCAATATTTCACACACTTCACTTGTTCAGTCACCCCACTCAAGAAAACATGACTCTTCTCCTTGTTAATTTGCAACCCAGACGTGGCTGAAAAAGGGTCCACTTGTTGCTTCATTATTGCTGAATTAACCTTTGCCTTACAAAATAACATAATATGATCCGCAAAACTTAGATTTGTAAGCTTTAATTGGTTACATTTAGGGTGATATTCAAAGCCTCCCTGTTTATCCAAGTTTTTCAAAAGTCTACTCAAGTACTCCATAACAAGGACAAACAAGTAGGGAGAAACTAGATCCTATTGACTAAGCCCCCTCATTCCTTTGAAATACCCCACAGATTCTCCACTAATAATAAACGTGAATTTGGCATCCTTAATACAGGTCATGATTCTATCAAGGAAATCAGTAGGAAACCCCAAATCACAGAGTATCTGTTTCAAAAAACTTCTAAGAGACTGAGTCATAAGCCTTCCTAACATCTAGCTTCATAAGGCATCCAACAGGTCCTTGAGTTCTATCATATCCTTTCACAATATCTTGATATATTAGAATATTAGTCTGAATGGCCATCCCTGTAATAAAAGCTGGGCGAACCCGAGGAAAATGTCCACTTGGATGCCTGTGATAGAATGTTTAAGGAGGAAATTATCTTCATGGCGTTGTGACTCCTTGTCCTTCTGAGGTCATATAATTCTCCTCAAAGCTGTCCTTTCGAGTCTCCCAGCTTACTACTTCTCCACCCTAAAAGCACCCAGAAAGGTAATTAATTTATTATCCTTGATTCAAAGAAGATTTTATGGGGGGAAGGGGAAGTAAGGAAAAAAAATAGGATAGCTTGGGTGGGGTGGGAAACAGTATGTAAAGAAAAAAAAATGAGGGAAGGTTGGGAGTGAAAGATGTAGGAACATTTAATGCAGCGTTATTAGGCAAGTGGTGTTGGAGGTTATTGACTGAAAAAAGAGCATTGTGGAGAATGGTAGTGAGAAGCAAAATATAAGGTCAATAGGATGAATGAATGCCAAGGTTGCCAGGTTGGAGTATGGGGTACAAATACTTCTAGTTGGTGGTGGTACAAATACTTCTAGATCATGCAATAGCTAATAGAGTGGGATGGATAAGGGGTGGCATAGATAAAGTCATAGGGGAGGGAAACAATGCATTATTCTGGCATGACCACTAGCTGAGAAATTCTGCTTTGAAAGATAGGTTTCATAGATTGTTTAGGTTAACAAGTGACAACGAGTCCTTAGTATCTAAAATGGTAGTATGGGGAAATAAGGCATGGCAATGGAGATGAAGTTGGAGGAGGAAACTTTTAGCTTGGGAAACTGATGTTTTGCAGGAACTTACTGATATGGTGCAAAGAAAGAAAGTGGAGAAAGGACGAGAAGACAGCTAGTGATGGAAGCATGATCCAAAAGGAATATACTTGGTGCGTTCAGCATATAAAATCTTAAAT